TATATATATAGGCTTCCAATACTCTTTTCTAGATCTCTTGATCAAAATGCATCTTAAATGACCATTTGTAATTAATCTTTTTAGGGATAGTGGTTTCTGGCACAAGAATATGCCATTCATGTTCAGAGAAAGTAGAAGCAAAGTTAAGAATATGCCATTCATGTTCAGAGAAAGTAGAAGCATGTAACTTTGAAATAAATTTACAGCTTACTCTAAAATATAACTCTTATTAAACTTACATATCTTTTATGTCTTTGAATAATTAAGGGCCGTTTACCAAACACTTATCCGAAAAAATTCAATACTATCGTTTACTTACAGGGTAAGATTTTAGTCCATCGAAACGATATCGTATACAATAATTTACTCAATAAGCGTTGGCCGTGGTAAAAGTCGTCGTCTTTACTTACCGGGTAAGACTCTAGCTCCTTGTTTTCGCTCTTACTAAGATTATTGGTTCTTCCCATATTCATTACTAAGGTAATGTAACTTGATAAACACTTACCAGATAAATGTTTGGTAAACAACCCCAGTATTGCGTACATAGAAAAATGCACGTGCGAATGATAAGGAAAACGGGAAAAGGGTGGTTGTGTGGGATCTTATTGTATCTTCCAATCCAGATTGGAAGTCCACTTCAACATGTGTCATGTTTATATATATATATATATATATATATATATATATATATATATATATATAACTCCTTGATTATGTAAACATCATAAAGACAAGTGTCAGTTCTTTTAAATCATTTTATTCATTTATGCTTTTTTTTTTGTCGTCCATTTCAATGATAAAATGGTTGTCTGCGCCAAGAGATCTTAGGCTTGGTTAAGTTCTTGTAACTTCTCTTCTGATATTGTACATGTTAGGCTTGCAATTTCTATGAGAGTGACACACATTTGATTCTAATTAAAAATAAACTAGACCCCAATGAATATGTATAAGAAGATGCAATTGACAATCAGAGACAACGTTGATGTGCACTCAGTCACTGGGATCTGTAAGGTCTGAAGTGGTTGAAGTTTTAAGTGACAAATCATTGGACGAGATGCCATGAGTAAGGTCTGAAGTGGTTGCAGTTTTAAGTGACAAAGCATTGGACGAGATGGATGCCATGAGTAAGGTCTGAAGTGGTTGCACTTTTAAGTGACAAATCATTGGACGAGATGCCATGAGTAAGGTCTGAAGTGATTGCACTTTTAAGTGACAAATCATTGGCTGAGATGCCATGAGTAAGGCCTGAAGTGGTTGCACTTTTAAGATGCTTCTAAATGCATCCTAATAGTTACTTTTCTTATTTGAGTATTTATGTAGCTGAATCATATATATTACTTTTGCAATATATTAATCAAGGGATGCATCCATGTGTTTTGGATGGTTTTGTAATTTGTCAAAAAGGCAACATTAGAATTTCTGGAAAATTTGTAATTGTTTGCCTCTACATTTCATTCTAATTTGCAGCTAATGAGATTATCTGTTAACTAGCTCTGGACGCTAATTACATAATCAGAATATAAATTTGTACATGTTTTCTTGCAGGAATTAGCTAAAAATTGCAATTTTGCCACTCCTTACTTTAATTTTGAATCCACTTCTTGGAAAAAAATAAGTTTCTTGAAATTTTCCATTTCAAATCATATTTCTAGGGTAAACTATAAAAAACAAAGCAACAAATTTTAATTTGTATATGTTTTCTTGCAGGAATTAGCTAAAATTTGCAATTGGTAAACTATAAAAAAAATAAAGCAATAATTGTCAAGAAGAGAATTTTACAATGTTGCAGTTTTCTCAACATGATGGAGCACCTATTAGAGCCTGAGCTTATGAATTTTCCGAGTTCCTTGGACTTATGATAGGGATGAAATGCATGTCGATTGAGGGAACCCATCCATGCACTTGGCATTGCCAAATTACTTGGTTTTCAAACAAGTACCATGTAATGGTGATATTTTCAACTTTTTTGTTACGTATTTGGTATCTACATTGGTATGAGTGAAAACTTCATCAAGAGTTGTTGCGGTTAGGATTGCAAATTGAGTTGTAAATATGCATCCTAAATAGTGTTTTACTTATAGACATTTTATTGATTTCCTATTATAGGTTTCTCCTTCAAGTTTTTACATATAACTTCTATAAATTTGCATATGAATTCCATAAAGTTAAATGATGAGTAAGTGATAAACATATTATAATTTCAAATACAGGATATTTAGGGGTCGTTTACCTAAACACTTACCGGTAAAATTTAATACTATCGTTTATTTACGGATTATTAACTAAAACGTATCGTATGCAACAATTTATCCCGGTAAGCGCTAACCATGGTAAGAGTCTTCGTCCTCACTTACCGGGTAAAACTCTCGATTATTGTCTTCGCTCTTACCGGTTAAGATTTTTAGTCCTTGCATATTCATCTGATAAAGTAAAGTGATTTAGTAAGCGCTTACTCAGGTAAGCGTGTGGTAAACGGCACCTTAATGTTGATTCTCAGATATACTTATTAATCACGCGATTTTCTTTCTAAGTTATAAGTTGATCATAATTGAAAACAACACAAAACTGTAAAACTAGAGGGATAGAAGAAGAATACAATGAAGAACAAAACATGATTAAAGGTCCAAACATGGACTTGAAAAGGCCAAGTATGAAGTGTAAGACGATGTCATTCATCATTCTTTCAACAACTTGCAATCCAAATTCAAGAAATATATCCTTATGTCTGTCACCCACTTATATTTCATTTTTGTTTTGTAAGATTATGTTCAATGTGTATATTTGGAAAAATGTTTTTATAACCGTAACACCACTTTTTTCCTACCAATTCTCACACTCTACATGAGAATCTCACCAACTGTGTTCTATTTTGCAAAAACATGTTTATACTTTACATATTTGTTTATATTTATTTGAATCTTACATTCCGCCGCATTGCGCGGATATACAACTAGTATCTATACTATCTTATAAATGAGATTTGGTAAAAGTCTTAAAGTCTGAAAGACAATTTTTATTGCAGTATGTACCACTTTTTTATGCATAAGTCTTAAAGACAATTTTTATTGCAGTATGTACCACTAATTGAAGCATGAATCTTAAAATCTCTTGATCTTCTCCGTACGAAAGAGGAGGCGTGGACGCACATCTCGAAAATCGCTTCTATCGCCTTGGGAATATTGAAAGACAACTTTGATCCTGGTTCAAGGCAACGATTGCTATTCTCCAGAGGTGTATTACTCTTTCGTTTCTCCATTCTCCATTCTCCATTCTCGGTTACGTTCTTCATCTCTGGTAGAGTTCTTCAAAATCTTAGGTTTTCTTCTCACAATACTGTTGGTGGTTTTGCAGACAACAGATACCTGCTCCAGATCGCCGGTCGAAGTCAAACGCACRTCTCCGGAGTGTGGCAAAGTCTACTACCACGCAACCTAAACAGAACGTCGAGCAGGTGCCGTTGGATGAGGTTAGGGATGATAAAAAGGATGGAGTTGTTGGGAGGATCCGACAAACCGGAAACGAAGTTCGCCTGTCTGACCGGCGTAGGCCGAGGCCGAAGTATAGCCTGAAGACCGCTCAAGGATGAAGGATTTGGACACCTCGCCGTGCTAATACTTTCGAGAAGCTTGATAAGGTGAAGTTAAATTAAAACCTTGAATCTCATCACACTTTCATTCATGGAGATATGAAGGATTTGTTTTCTATACATCAATCGTGGATTGATAAATTGACTGTTGGTTATGAGATGTTGACAGTAATTGATTTAAATTTCGTGTTGCTTGATGATCAGTGACGTATAGCAATGTATATAAAGCTAGGGATTTGATAACATGGAAGATAGTTGCTTTGAAGAAGGTTATGTTTGATAATTTAGAGCCAAAGAGTGTGAAGTTCATTTCATGGCAAGAAAGCTTAATCATCCCAATATTATCCCAAGTGTATCATCTATGTTAGTAGTGAGATATAGCTACAAAAAGATGGAAATTGTTGTACTTTAATTATTTAGAATAAGTATCTTACATTCCTGAGCAGAGCAGGGGTGTTGTTGAGGATTTGTATTGCAATTGGGAAACTGGAACAGAGGAAACAAGTCATTTTATACTAAATGAGACTCGTAATTTGCACTTATTTAAGGACTCAATTTGTGGACGGACAGAGTATTTTGTAATGTATTTTGTGGGGACTAGACGAGTTAAAATGACATTTAATGGGGCCTAATCAACTATAGAAAGATCCTAGCTTTTGCAGCCAGTAAACGTTACAACAATAATGGGTTGATTGGAACTTACTGTATGTGAGCCGAGCCAAGGCTCGATCCTTAGGCCAGCCAAACCAATCCCCAACCTGAGCGTACTTACCTTTTTTTTTATTACATTTTGAGCATTTAGCTGAGCAGCTCAGGCTCAACCCGGTTCAAATACACAGGTATAAGTACATATCCAACCAACTATTAAGGGAAGGCTCATGAGCTATGCGGATGGCTACCCGAGTCAAGCAGAGTGCCAAGAACTCGTGTAAAACCTCTTTGGCTCTTGGTATGTTATGTTTCCAAAATGATGATCGTAACGTTCTAAAACGAGACTGAGATAAATGATTAAAGTTGTAACGATTAT